GGGCTATACTGACACCATAAATCAGGAAAAGGTTTCAAACATTCTCATATCAATTTTTGTACTTTTTAAACATTCATCTGGTGATATTTAAAACCAGAAACTTATTTTAAAACGTGTTAGCAAGAGAGCTCTAAATGTAAGCCAGTAAGCCTGATTATTGGTAAATACTTTTAGTTTTATCCCTCCTACTTAACTTCAAAATGGTAATTTCCATAAAATTTGAAGGAAATCGGAGTTTTGGTCACTTCCAATTAACTAGAGGATCACAATGCTAATGATATCACAGTTTCTCTGATGACCATATACTCGAGCCTCGTTGATCCATGTTGATGAACGTTTGTCCAAGGTAGATAACTCTAGATAACCCGCGTATATAAGTTAACGATCTAAACCTCCCAACTTGAAGGTACACCGCGAACTTGGCGGCGACTCAAACAGTTTTACGCCTGAATAAATTTTGCCTGAATAGAGTTTTGAAAACCTTGGCCCCGCTTGACCTTGAGTGAGACCCTTTCAGGTGTATGAGGGAGGGGGAGGGAAGAGCAACGAGCAGGTAGAGCTGGAGTGAAATGTCTTGTGAAACTGAGGGTGGAGAGTGAACAATACGGAATACAGTAGTGAAAATATCCATAGTGATGGGACATAACTTAGATTGCTGCAAAATCTGTTCGACGAATAACACCAAGGAAGTTTAAAGCTTGGATTCAAATGTGTATTTGGGAATTGTAAACTCTTACATCCAAATGATGATCGAATATTTGTATGGATTCTACTGTACCTAGAAAATCAAGATTTGCACTTCAATTATCAAAGTTTGTTTTAAAACTTTAAGTTGTAAAAAATAAATAAACAACAAAATGTGTAATATATTATGCTCATGGAACTTACTTTTCTTACCTCGCTAGAGAATCAGTACCTGTTCGATAAGCAGCGATAAGGGTGTTGACTGCTAGGTTTGAGTTGTAATGGTTGTGAAGGAATTGAATAACTGTTGTACAAAGAAATGTGAATGTCACGACAATAAGTTTGCCATTCTCGTTAGTAACCAATACTTCGCCGGATTGATAACAGGCAAAATGCTTGTTGATTGTGGTGTTATTTAGTTGAAGTGATAACATAAATCAGAGAGTCTATTAATGATAGGCCACACCACCACGACGATTACCTTGCTCGTTAAATACGTCAAGTTGGTTTTCCGGATACTGATTGGGTTTCCAACAAATTAACTTAAATGCTGTTTAAATTCGGATGATGTATGCGTCTAATATGTTAACATAACGTAAAATGTCCTGGCACTTGGGCTTCAAATTATATCCAAATAATTTTCAGAGCATCAAAATAATCGTTCGTATACTGTGTAAGCAAAAATAATTCTCTTTGATCGCGCAACAAAGAGCATTTATCTAGTTCACTGTGTACGTGTTCTTAGATTGTTTAGACGAGTTCATATTATAGATCCAGGGGGCGAAATAGTTTTAACCCTATATTCTTACAAAACCTTTGGTTTGATCATTATAAATTTGTAATTAATTAGATACCTCAAGCCTGAAATTGAGTAATTTACAATAATAATTGAGTAATTGTACACAATAATAATACAATTATAATAAAATTTAAATGGGTTTGTGGGTAATTTTTAACTCATAATGGCAGGCAATGCCCCTTCCCCGAGATTATATCATGAAGCCTTTCTTTATCCCTTTTCACCACACCCATTGACGATATTTACGTTGGCAAATATACTCATGATACACGTAATATTGCTCAATATAGATTAAATAATTCCTAATTATATTCTTCATACTTAGTAGTTTGACTAACCCATTAACTATTCATAAATATGTTTAGTTCTATCATTGTGTGAGGTGTTGAAGAATAATTCCACTTAAGGTTAACATCTTAGAAATCCTTGTTTGATAACTACCGGTACCCAATCAAAAGTAGGATTTACCGGTCAAGGAAACACACAATGACTATTTCAAGTACCTCATCAGAACCAAGACAACCTTGATAACACCTCAAGGTTCCATCAAGGTAGGAAATCTTATCGGATGTCTATACTTTTGTGACAATATTGTACGAAGTACGGTCACACCATAACTTGTTGGGAAGTGTTCATTAACGTCTCATTGTCGGTCAGAAGTTGTTGCAATGTTTTGGGGAGAGCGCAAGCGAAGCATAGTTTTCTCACACTCGATTCCCGAAAGAGAGAGTGACAGGGGAGAAAGTATTGCAGGTACAGAACCTGATGAAAGCAGATTTGTTGGACGTAGTTGACTTGAGAAAAGCTGTCATCAGTAAATGTCAATCAAACTTGATTAATAGAACACAGCGATCAGTTGGGGACTGGAAAAACTACACAAAAAACTGCGAATAACAAAGCGCACGGTCAAGAAGCTGTTACAGTAAGGATTTCAGTAAGGATTAATCTATGCTAGTAGTAAGGTGTCTAGCTCCAGCACTACAGAGGTATCTTATACAACAAGTAAATTTGTAAAATCGAATTATATGTGCCGGAATGACTTGAACTTATTGTAATACTTATGAAGTGATTGTCGTTACACAATCCATACGGTAATTAAGTTCCATAATTATATAATACACCATTGATTAAAATATATACCGCACCGCAACAGACTTGCAGACTAAACGAATTTCCATTTGCCTGGAACGATTTTCAGTGAAATATGTCTTTTTAAATGCCAGATTGTCTCTTTTAAAATAAAATTAGGTTTGGTGAGCAATTTAGATATTTATAGTAAAATATCAATAGAAAACAAATAAAAAACTAGATTAAATAAACAATTATCGAAATAGAGTTTTACGTCCGTGAACGCAATAACTCTCGAGTAATTCTGGTCTGATTTTTATGAAATTGGTTTGAAGGTGTAGGGCTGGATAAACTTGAATGAGTTCGCCAACGAGCAAGATCGGGTATTACGGGAACGGGGTATTATGGGGCTTTAAAATCATATGTAAAGGGGTTTAGGCATTGTCAAGACGAAAATTGTAGCAGCTACACACATAAAATAACAGGTTAATAATAGTAACCTTTTGTACACGCCTCTGCGAATCGGCCAGCGGCTGACGACGACAAAGCAAAACAACCAAGCGATGGTTGTGCAACGTACAAGTTGATATGTGACATTTCACAATACTATTGGTGGCCAGACAAACGACCAACATGCTAGACAACTGAGTAAACTAATATCAACTACAGGTGATAGACTGGCTGTTTAGAGACATTTTCCAAGGTATGCTGTAATTGAAATATTTCCAAGGACAATAGAAAACGAAGTGAAGTGTGAAAGTAGTGTTTACAAGAAGAGCCTAGCTCAGCTCACACTAACCAGGCTATGAGTAGGCTATACAATATGTTCAGTATGTACCGGGGTCCGAGCCTTGCTCAGCTCACACTAACCAGGCTATGAGGAGGCTATACAATATGTTCAGTATGTACCGGGGTCCGAGCCTAGCTCAGCTCACACTAACCAGGCTATGAGTAGGCTATACAATATGTTCAGTATGTACCGGGGTCCGAGCCTTGCTCAGCTCACACTAACCAGGCTATGAGGAGGCTATACAATATGTTCAGTATGTACCGGGGTCCGAGCCTTGCTCAGCTCACACTAACCAGGCTATGAGTAGGCTATACAATATGTTCAGTATGTACCGGGGTCCGAGCCTTGCTCAGCTCACACTAACCAGGCTATGAGGAGGCTATACAATATGTTCAGTATGTACCGGGGTCCGAGCCTTGCTCAGCTCACACTAACCAGGCTATGAGTAGGCTATACAATATGTTCAGTATGTACCGGGGTCCGAGCCTTGCTCAGCTCACACTAACCAGGCTATGAGGAGGCTATACAATATGTTCAGTATGTACCGGGGTCCGAGCCTAGCTCAGCTCACACTAACCAGGCTATGAGGAGGCTATACAATATGTTCAGTATGTACCGGGGTCCGAGCCTTGCTCAGCTCACACTAACCAGGCTATGAGGAGGCTATACAATATGTTCAGTATGTACCGGGGTCCGAGCCTAGCTCAGCTCACACTAACCAGGCTATGAGGAGGCTATACAATATGTTCAGTATGTACCGGGGTCCGAGCCTAGCTCAGCTCACACTAACCAGGCTATGAGTAGGCTATACAATATGTTCAGTATGTACCGGGGTCCGAGCCTAGCTCAGCTCACACTAACCAGGCTATGAGGAGGCTATACAATATGTTCAGTATGTACCGGGGTCCGAGCCTTGTTCAGTTTTAGTTTATTTGGGTAAAAATAAAACAATATTGTAAACAAACATTTCATAATTTACGAAAAACATTTTTATTACAAACCATAGACAGGCATTTGATCGCTGAAATAATAACAACTCTGTAATGTAAAAGCAAGCAATCAATCAAAAATAAGATACTTTTTTGTGATCCTGTTTACGTTTAAGTGCTACTCGCACAGAATTTTTCTTCCCTCTAGTCATTGAAACCCGGTGTTCAACTTTTAAAGACAGTAGAAAATATATATATACAAACAAAATCATATAATTTCAAAATGGTTGTGACAACGATTTATCGTAATACTACTTCTTAAGAAATTTAAATTCTGTCTGTTTATTTTCATTGATATTTATTTAGCACACGGTAATAGTTTTATGCCAATTAAACCCCCCCCCCCTCCAGATGTAATTAGTTTACTTGGAAAGCCTCAGTACTTCAGGGATTGAGTTTTAGTGGGAGAGTTCTAAGTAAAATAATCAGTATTTGATCTGAACTATTTTCCCCTATATTAAGTAATCTTCAGTGTAATCTTAATTTTTGCTCAATAGTTACAACTAATGTTTTCCCCTTTTTACAAGATTTGGTTATATACTAGTCACCTGTGGCTGGCTTGTTATAAACACATGTGAGTAGTGACAACTATTTTGTTTACTTTCCTTTTTATTTTGTTCCAGCCTGTTGTACCACGATTGATACAGTACAGTATGGTATTGTAGTGGTGTTACAGTAGTAGTGGTGGTACAGTACAGTATGGTATGCTGATGTTGGTAAAAGCCTGTTGCACCACGATTGGTACAGTACAGTATGGTATGGTGTTGTTGGTAACAGCCTGTTGCACCACGATTGGTACAGTACAGTATGGTATGCTGATGTTGGTAACAGCCTGTTGCACCACGATTGGTACAGTACAGTATGGTATGCTGATGTTGGTAACAGCCTGTTGCACCACGATTGGTACAGTACAGTATGGTATGCTGATGTTGGTAACAGCCTGTTGCACCACGATTGGTACAGTACAGTATGGTATGCTGATGTTGGTAACAGCCTGTTGCACCACGATTGGTACAGTACAGTATGGTATGCTGATGTTGGTAACAGCCTGTTGCACCGCGATTGGTACAGTACAGTATGGTATGCTGATGTTGGTAACAGCCTGTTGCACCACGATTGGTACAGTACAGTATGGTATGCTGATGTTGGTAACAGCCTGTTGCACCACGATTGGTACAGTACAGTATGGTATGCTGATGTTGGTAACAGCCTGTTGCACCACGATTGGTACAGCACAATATGGTATGCTGATGTTGGTAACAGCCTGTTGCACCACGATTGGTACAGTACAGTATGGTATGCTGATGTTGGTAACAGCCTGTTGCACCACGATTGGTACAGTACAGTATGGTATGCTGATGTTGGTAACAGCCTGTTGCACCGCGATTGGTACAGTACAGTATGGTATGCTGATGTTGGTAACAGCCTGTTGCACCACGATTGGTACAGTACAGTATGGTATGCTGATGTTGGTAACAGCCTGTTGCACCACGATTGGTACAGTACAGTATGGTATGCTGATGTTGGTAACAGCCTGTTGCACCACGATTGGTACAGTACAGTATGGTATGCTGATGTTGGTAACAGCCTGTTGCACCGCGATTGGTACAGTACAGTATGGTATGCTGATGTTGGTAACAGCCTGTTGCACCACGATTGGTACAGTACAGTATGGTATGCTGATGTTGGTAACAGCCTGTTGCACCACGATTGGTACAGTACAGTATGGTATGCTGATGTTGGTAACAGCCTGTTGCACCACGATTGGTACAGTACAGTATGGTATGGTGTTGTTGGTAACAGCCTGTTGCACCACGATTGGTACAGTACAGTATGGTATGCTGATGTTGGTAACAGCCTGTTGCACCACGGTTGGTACTGTACAGTATGGAATGGTGTTGTTGGTAACAGCCGGTTGCACCGCGATTGGTACAGCACAATATGGTATGGTGCTGTTGGTAACAGCCTGTTGCACCACGATTGGTACAGTACAGTATGGTATGCTGATGTTGGTAACAGCCTGTTGCACCACGATTGGTACAGTACAGTATGGTATGCTGATGTTGGTAACAGCCTGTTGCACCACGATTGGTACAGTACAGTATGGTATGCTGATGTTGGTAACAGCCTGTTGCACCACGATTGGTACAGCACAATATGGTATGCTGATGTTGGTAACAGCCTGTTGCACCACGATTGGTACAGTACAGTATGGTATGCTGATGTTGGTAACAGCCTGTTGCACCACGATTGGTACAGTACAGTATGGTATGCTGATGTTGGTAACAGCCTGTTGCACCACGATTGGTACAGTACAGTATGGTATGGTGTTGTTGGTAACAGCCTGTTGCACCACGATTGGTACAGTACAGTATGGTATGCTGATGTTGGTAACAGCCTGTTGCACCACGATTGGTACTGTACAGTATGGAATGGTGTTGTTGGTAACAGCCGGTTGCACCGCGATTGGTACAGCACAATATGGTATGGTGCTGTTGGTAACAGCCTTGATTTATCGCCGGGGTGTGTGTTAGTCTGCTTTGGATATATTGACACTAACTATGAGGAAATGATTACTTCAGTGAAAAGTGATTAGCTTCTAGCGGATAACAGAAAGCATTGTGAGCTGACGGATGTTTAAGCGGGTTTGTTATTCAATGCATCTATTTGCCTAGGTTTGATCAGCCGAAAGTTTTTGTCGCCATATATCGAACATAATTAAATACAGCAAAATTGACAATCGGGTTGTTTCTATGCTGCTGTGAATAACAACTGCTATAGTCCGGAGCGATATAATAGCGGAGGCGGAGATCAATGTTGTTTGAATGATTTGAAAGAGCTTCATAGTCATAAAGAGATGTACCCCTGGATGTACTGATACTGATGGGTAACCATTCCACTTGGTCGTCGACACGGAGGCGGGCGAGTCTCGGTGCAACACTCACCTGTCATGTCTAGTGATATAGATAAGAGAGTTCAGCAATCAGGAGTCAACGTCGTGATACAGAAACTCATTAATGAGCGTTCGCGATATCTACATCTGATAATAACTTTGTATTAGTTTTGCCTCGTGGCTAATGGGATTAACTACTTCTTTACCTAGTCATACGACTCGTCTCTGGATGAGTCTCGACAGAAATGAACCTTGCACAATATGCTGAAATAAAAAGGGGTTTTCAGGCAATGTGATCTTATAGGCAAGAAAATCTTATAGGTTTAGTTATTGCGTTTTTCAATCACTTCATCTCGCTAGCCCACAGGCTTCGATTTTCACTTGGGATGTTATTTTGTTGTTAAGCAGAGACAAAAGAGCAAATCTAAGTTCAAACAAGCATTCGTTGTCGTTGTCAGAATCTTTAGTAAAGAATCACGGCTCCTAAACTGTTGTTTAGGAACTACATCGTGATAAAACTTGAAATATTAGCTTGCCGTGTCATTATAGTCATCTATCTATATCTAAACTATTATATAAAAATCTAGTGGTGTCTGTATGTATGTTTGTTACTAATAGGCGCATAAACTACTGTACTGACTGGGCTTAAATTATACAAAAATATAGCTACCTTACCAAGGACCTTTATAGGACTATTCACACTTCGATGCTGACCGTGGGCTTTGCCCCTTTGGCTTTAAAAGTCCTGAGGTGAGGATTTTAAAAGTAAATATTGATTGGTCTCCATGGCTTCCATGAGATCACATACAATGTTTGCAATTTGCTATGCCACCCAAATGTAAACAAGCTGAACTGTCAAACCACATTAATTTACAATTCCACAGCTGGTTTATAAATAGAAATAGGCATATGATATTCTCTACAATCATGTGACATGTTTATTTATTCTTATATTTGATGGTTCATTGATTATTGATTTTATTAAATAAGTGAGATTGTATATTTGTTGTTGTTTCTAACCCTAATTAATTATTAAAAATTTCGCAAATGTGAATCAAAAACAGCTATAGACTTTGAGCTATATGACTTTATGAATGTATTGAAAGATTTTGGTGTAAAAAATAGTGAAATTTTAAAGTTTACATTTACTTGAATCATTTTAACATTTTTGAACACTTAACATGTGTTTAGTGTAGGGCACACACCTTAAAAATTGAAACCTTTTTTTCAAGGAGATAATTAATTGTATATTTTTTGCTATTTTGAGAGAAATATTGTTCACACCTTTTGTCTTTTCACAAATTTTTAAATCATAATTTCATATTACTACCCATAGATTAGTTATGATGTTTTCTATACCTATCTATATTATAACTTTTGACACTTCCGCCTGTAGATTTCACATTCTATTCTAATAATGAATAACTTTTTACGAGCTTTTCATCGTCATTACATGTATATTTTCAACCAAGTTCCTCTTAACTTAACCGACCCTTGACATAAAAATTGTTTGAATGACATTAAAGTTCCTAATTCTAAGTTTCTAAGCTGATATACAAATATTTCAATTGAAAAACACCAATAAAAAACTAAGTTGTATATGCACTTGCCTTTGGTGCATGAATAGTATGAACTATAAATAGTAGGGCTAAGTATGTTTCTGTTTGTTTTAGTAGTAAGAGTGTTAATGTTTTTGTTTGTTCACATAATATAATGAGATTTTTTATAATCAATGCTAAGTGAGCAATGCTTTTTAAAAGCAAGATCACATGTTTCTTTTCATTCAAACCGTAATATTAACCAGATGTTGTAAATTATTGTTTGATTTTATCATTTAAAAGTAAGTAAAAGCTTTGAGTTTTTTATTTGTTTTATTGTTTGAAAATGTTTTTTTTATGTAATTAGTAAGTTAAAATGTTTTGATAGGTACATTTATTGAAATTGAATCTTATTCTACACTGTTTTTCATTTAAGATTTCAAAAAGCACCATTTAAACATACATCAACCCCGGACGAAGGACGGGTAGGCTACTCTGCTAGTGTGTCATATAATTATGTCATAGCTAATTTTTCAAAGTTTAACAGGCTGCACTTTACTTGACGTCCTACACTCATTCGATTGTTTTTTTTCGATTCGATATTTTCATTCGATATATCGTTTGGTTAGTTAGGTTAGGTTAACCTTACCTAGCTAACCAAACGATATATCGAATGAAGCAATCGACTAATCGATATATCAATCGATATTTTCATTCGAATGAGTGTAGGACGTCAAGTAAAGTGCAGCCGTTTAACACGCTATAGCTTCTAAACAAGAGTTGGTTTAGAGAGAAAATGCCAAGAGTATAAAAGTCTTAAAATTGCATCTAGAATCGAAAACAATCATAAAATACAGGGTGTCCGTTAAAAATGTAAAGTTAGCCACCATATTGGAAAATGATGGCCATTTTTGAAACATTGGAATTCATATGTTTTAATATCATTAAAAACTAGTTGAAGTTCTCCATTTAATGTTCTCTCTAAATCTAATAGTTTCTGAGATACCAATGGTGGCAAGGTTAAGTTGTTCCCCAGTTCACCCTGTATAGCTAGATTGCACCACCACACCCAGCCAAATTCAGAATATTGTTATGCTAAAGCAGTAGCGCTTGTTTGACCTGGGTTCTGACAACGGTGTGCTACGAGCTACAACCCCTACAGCAGTTGCACTCCAGGATGCAGTGATGTAACGGATCTGTGCCAAGTTCTATTATCTAGGCCAGTGGGTCATACTTTCACCGTCTCCTACCTATCTGGGACCTCCTGGCAGTCAAATAATCATACTAAATACTAGTGAATTCTATTTATAACGATTTCGAGTATGTATCAATGTAATAAGCTACGGTACTACTCGCAAAACTGACAGCCATAGATATACAGTACATCAAAACCCACGATTATGTGATTTGAATTGTATACAGTATGACAGAGTTGGTTGAGCATCACCAACAAATGATACTCGTCCAATGATGGGGGGGACCTCACTATCGGCCGTGGGGGCGAGGGTAGGACAACAGATCAATAAAAGTAGCACGATGGTGTGGAAGAATCATGAAAACTGATTCTACATAGTAATATGCCTAATCCTCATGTGTTCTACGTCCTTGAACAAGATTAATAAATAAAACATCCTAAATGCAAATCAGCCAGAGTAGTGTAGACAAGTAAATAAAAGTAAGAACTACATTTATCCCAACATCTAACGGTTGTTTCCACATAAATAGATCTATTCGTTGGAATATTAAGTAGTAATGATTATTAGAATTTTAAAGTGAGGAAATCTTTGGCACGAGCGCCGCCGTTCGGCTAAAATTAGACAAAAGATGAAAGCCGTCAACGATTCCCGTCGCGAGCTGTTCGCAATGTTCGCATACGCTTGTGAGGTTGCAGCTCCCTCCGTGAGTGTGACGTCATTGGGAATCACTCTCGCTTTTCTAGGAACTTGTTAAATTACACGTGATCTATCTAAGCACCGTTGAATAAGTGGCATGCTAGAGGATCCCCAGGTTAAATTTGCAGCATTTGTGTTAGGACGCATTCCACTGCGAGGGTGGGCCACAGCCCCTTTGGAAACTACTCTTTGCAGGCTTCCAGATACAACAAATTGTTCTGAATATCGCTCAAGAGAGCGCGTATTATGCTGTAAGAATATCTCTATGAACATATTGGTTCGTGACAACCATCTTGAGAGGGTAATCGGAGTCTTGAATTGGTCCTACCTTTGCTCTCTTATGAATGGTCTTAAATCACAAATGATAAATGATTTGTGTTTTGTATGAAACACACATCAAAAGGGAGGAAGGTAAATAGTGCTAGATTTTAATTCCTATCTATTAGCCTAGTTCCCCATGATTAATTCACATGTTGTAGGAGAGATAGAAATTTCTGGATGAGCTTATTGACAAAATTAGTTAGCGTTGGTCACTATCACTTTATTAGTATGTAAACGAAGGAAAACAATACCGTACACCCAACAATCATCGATGTCTTGAGATAGCCAAGCCAAGGTAACAATTTGCTGACAATTTTAATATATTATGTGTTTATAAACACTCTCGTCAGGTACAAACGTGATGTAAATGAAATAAACTACAATTTTGACGAAAGAAAAAAATATACGAATGACACTTGATATTTTACGACAAGATGGAACTGGATTTGCATCCATGTTCGCTTATTTCAATAATAAAATTTTTAAAGCACGCTTTTACTTTCTCCCCCTTTACATAGTATATGGAGAAAGTATTGTTTTCGTCAACATTTTTGACTTTGAGTTTTGAGTGGATATAGGCTATCTGTTTTGGGTCCCCTGGACCCAAAAAGTGGATTTCGAAGTGATGTCTGTGTGTGTGTGTGTGTGTCTGTATGTGTGGATGTGTACAGAGCTACAGTCTACACCTGTGGTCCGATTTTGATGAAATTTGGTATATGTAGGCACTAATCCATGGTATCTCCAGCCGTTTTTTTTCATTTTTTTCAAATTTCGATTTTTTATGTTGATTTTCCTGTAAAACCCATAGAATAACGGAAAATAGGATTTTCTCGAAAATGGCCCGAACGATTTTTATAAAGATTTAGTAGGTTGTAGCCCTTTAAATACTAAACAAAATGGTATAACTCATTTCCGTAAAAAATGCTGTTCAAAAACCATTGTAAATCATGTTATTTTCCCATAACATAAGAGAAAATAGTATTTTCTAAACAAAAAACTTGTTTTGATTGAAATTAGTATGTGATAATCCTTATAATTCTTAATCCATTCCTGTAAATATTACGGTTAAAAAGTTAATGCAACTATTGTGATTTTGCCGATTAAATATCATAGTTACTCTCATCGCTTACCCATGATAAAGGTTGTTGACAAGCTAATGGGAGAGAGAATGTGTCAGATTGCTGATACCGTTTATTTAAGTTTTTTTAGTTGTGTAATATCGATAAATTGCTTAGATAAACCTATTCTCGTGTTCATTAGGCAAACTAAGAAACTTGGAAGTAACGAGGTTTTACTTTAATTATAATATTCGCTTCCGCCTAAAATAATTTGTACAAAGAAGTTGTGTACTGTGAATTGTTTTCTTATCATTAGTGTAAGACTTTAGGATTGTGTTAACATTAAACGTATTTAGACGTTAAATAGTTCTATTATGAGAAAAGTACTTACCAAACCTCTTGTCTCGAGCGAGGGCGGGTTTTACCATTACAGAACGAAAATACTTTGCAGTAAAGAGCTCGGGTGAACTCAAACTTTCAAGTTCAAGAATTCTGAGCAACAGACGTTCTACCGCTGTGAAAAACTTCAGCCTTGTTTGTGTAGATATTCCACGCACTTGGAAAATTATTGTTAAAGATCACTCAAATTTGACACTTGAAACGTTCCTAGATTCATTTGTCACACGAAAGCACAAGATGTAGATGTAGACTAGACGTTCGATCTCGGATCTACGCTCGGCAGAGAAGCGAGTGACGAGGTCAGTCTTGGGTGCGGGAGGCGTGTGGACTGAGGAGCTAAAAGTGTCTGCGACCGCGGCGCGACTAGAAATGAACGAGTCTCTAGGTGCGAAGCGATATGTGGATAGCGCTGAACGGAAATTACCACTGCCTTCTAGGTTGAAGCTCTAGCGAGTGACGCGCGGATACCACTGCCTTCTATATATCACCTCGAGAGGCACCCATCAACACTTGACCCCAGCTGATCATGAATTACTATATGTTAAAAGAGCCCACAGTCGGTGGCAGTGGCAATATCGTGATCACTGTGTGTTGATGACTATGGCGACATCAGACACAACAAGCCGTGTGTTGTACATAACGAATTGATCAGATGTTGGTCGGGTGGAAATCTAATATCTGAGACTCCATGTTCCGGGATGTAAACAAAACTCACGCCGCAAGTGCCTGGGTGCAGTCTACAGCGATGGAATCGGTCCAGCTAGATAATCAACCATCATTGTGGTGTAGGTGTAATAATGGTGTAATAGACTAATCGCTATGGGAATGCACCCAATCAATGCAGTACTCATTCTTCCAGCCTATCATACCATAACCATTAACTATATGCAGAGTGAACATCTTAACTCTTTCGATTATTGGTATCTCAAAAACTATATAATTGATAGAAAACTTTTAGAGCTTCGTTAAATGTTTACGGCTGTAAAATTTTTGTATGAATGTCCATTGTTATTCAATTAGTCGTTTAAAAAGGGACCGCGCCGAACTTGGACAACGACACACGCGGACAACGTTAAAGTTGGACAGATTAAGTTTCCAGGGTTGTCGTTTGCGTGCAACGTTACCCTTGGACACTTTTGAATGTGTCCAGATTCGTCGTGTCGTGCAACGCCACCCCTGGACAAATTAAAAACTTGTCCAGGTTCGTCGTTTGCATGCAACGTTAAACTTGGACACATTTGCATGTGTCCAGTTTCGTCGTGTCGTGCAGCGCCACCCCTGGACAACTTAAAAACCTGTCCAGGTTCGTCGTTTGCATGCAACGTTAAACTTGGACACATTTGAATGTGTCCATATTCGTCGTGTCGTGCAACGCCACCCCTGGACAACTTATAAGTGTGTCCAGGTTCGTCGTTTGCGTGCAACGTTAAGCTTGGACACATTTAAATGTGTCCAGTCTCGTCGTGTCGTGCAACGACGAATATGGACATTTGTCTTAAGTCTCTTGTTTTGGGACCTGACTGTACTTTCTACCTGTCAAAGGCCATTGTTTGGGATTTCGACCAAGGCACCACTAGAAAAGGGTGTCCTCCTGATTGCGAACAGTCCTGATTGCGAACAGTCCAGACTGCGAACATGTTTGGGTCTACGAGGTGGAGGGGGTCGTCCGTGGGGTGGGGAGGATTCCTGATTGCGAACACATTTTGAGTGGTTGGGGTTTTCAACCCTTTCATATAACCCTTTCATAAACCCTTAACAGAATGATTTAGCCTAAATCACAACTTAAGACTGGTAATATACATAATGGAAAGGATGAATGTTCTTGAAGACACATATCTTTATGAGACGTAGTATAATTAGGTGGTAAAGCCCCTTATTAACAGACAGATTCTTCCAGACTCACAAATTCGTTCTGATAATAGGTATTTAAATTGGCTGTTTATTTAAAATTAATTATAATATGTTTGACTTGAACAAGCAACTACTAAACAATCTCAGAGTAAAGGAAATAAAACAATCATTTCATATGAACTAGGGTACCTGTTGCTCGAAATCGAGCAACTGTCAAGTGCAGGTATTATAGGTACAGAAGTTATTTTAAAACTACAGTATAACAGTAATAATTTTCGATGAGTTTAAAAGACCCGACTAAATGCTTATGTGACTAATTGTAATACCCACGCTATTAAATAGCTCTTTGATATAATAAAGGCTTCTTGTATTTTAGAATTTTTTGGACCCGGCCTTATTTTTTAGTGTTTTCTACAAATGTTTCCCGACTTAAAGCTTTTAACCAGTAAACATTTCTTGCATGTATTTATTTGTTCGGACTTTAGGTAGGTTTACTTTATCACTGTGACAACATCTGTTGTATATTCTTCATGTTTTTAAGTTGCTTAGCATAACTGACAAAAATGATTCATCTCCCCAAGTGAGTGTGTACCTGGATTCCTTACTGTGAGACCAGGCCTCTCCTCTACTCTTCTTATTCGTATAAGATTTCCTATTAATTGTCTCCTCCTCCTGTTTTCAACATTTCTCCTTTAAACTCAAGAAATTGTCTGTTCTTCCAACAAAACTGATTGACTGTTTAGATTTGTCTATTACCTCATAAATATTACAAACATCGATATTTACTCCCAAAAAGCTGGTGAGTTTCTTTTTATATACAGTTGTTTTTGTTTTTAAATTTGCTTTCAATGTAATTCTTATGGGGAAGATGCGACCTTTGATAGCGTCTCGTGCCCTTAAGGGTAAGAGTTTTTTAAGTTCTAAAACGTTTATGCAATACTACAAATTGAGACGAATTATTTGACACCTCAAACGTTAAAATCGGTCCAGAAATAACGGAGGAGTTTTGTTCACAAAAATAGCCTCACATATTAATATAAGAGAAACTGACTATAATTAGCCGAAATATCATGCATTTGCCAATATCACATTCCAAACTCAATCATTACCTAAAAAAACATCGTCAACGAGCAATTTAAATAGCAACTAAAATAAATACCATACTTACATACATCTTACATCCGAAATAACATGTATATGCATTACACATTACAACATAAATCATTCAATCACATTCCCAACTCAACAAGCAATTAAATCTCACGTTCAACAACAGCTACTAAACCATCTTTACAGATTCAAAAATATTTGTTCGCAGTCTGGACGACTCATGTTCAGGTAGTCCACAGCATTTTTGAGGTGTTCGCAGTCTGGACGATTTTACCCTTGTTCGCAATCTGGACTGTTCGCAATCAGGACACAACCCTAGAAAAGCACGCCATGCTGAAGGTTCATGACGTCACACTAGTGGATAGATTCACTGCAATATCCCATATGTTTTAGGTAATAAAGCTGGCTGTTTTCAGATTTTACGGTTAAATTTTCGTACAACTATCCACCACTGTGACGTAGTGTTGCACATGGTCGGTATTTTTGCATACATAAAAGTAAACGAATATTTTCTATTCCCTACGTAGTGTGGTGGCTTAGCAAAATGATAGTGACCTGATGGATTAAAGCTGCAGCTTTTGCACATTTCTTCCATACCCTAAATACAAACAATTTATGGGGGGGTGCCCGATTTTTAGGTCCGCCATCTTGAAATACGACGCCATCTTTGTTTTCTTCAGAGGAATTGAACTGTTCATTGAAAATGGCCTAAAATCACCCAAAAGGACACATTTACGCCATTTTGTATATAACATGTTTTGTTCACAATTCAATTTTCTATAAAACGAGATAAAAACCACTTCGATAACTTAAATAGTCTTGAAGATATAAACTGTTAAAGTTGAAAATTTGATATATTCCTCTACGCTACATGTAGTTTTTGCTATATATCACCCAAACGGTCAACGGTACGTATCTGTTATTATGATATATTTTATTCGTAATTAAATTTGCTACAAAATGAGATGAAAATCTCTAAATTAACTTAAATAGTTCGGAAGATATAAACCGTTAAAGTTATAAGCTTCTTTAATTTCTGTATGCAATAGGTTGGTGTTTCTTAAAAGTCCCCGCGCTTTGTTTTTTCTGCACGTATTGCGTCAGAAGACTGCAGATTCACACATCAATACTGGACCTAAAATAGTACTTTTTAAAGTACTTCTTGACTTTTTTCACCCAAGAGGGGTCGGCCCGCAAGGAGTAAGTTGAAAATCTTAAATAAAAGCATAGGCCATGATGCATATCAAATTAAAGAGATTTACCTGTAGAACGCGTTACCACAAACTGCGCTATAAAAGGACATGTGGGTCAAAAGTTATACAATTTTTTAGTTTTGCTTATTTATTTATTAATTAACGGTCTACACCATTTCATCTCATTGCATAACACTATAACATACGTAACGGAACTTAACAACAAGGATCATACATATCAAACAATAGTATTAACAAGCAAAACAATGCTCAACAAGAATAAATGTATAACAAACTTATCAAGAATTGAATAAAAAAGATGTCAATAAACCTGGAATTCCATAAATTGATCGGTTTAAAGTGATGATATTTAAAAATTCTATCAACATGCATCAACATTTTAATAAATATGAAAGCAAACAAGAAATGCAATAACAAACTGGATCATAGGACCACTCTACTGTATTATGGGCCACCAAGGATTATGAGAAACAAGCAAGCAGCTATTTCCTACAAGTAATAAAACTTGAGGAGAAAAATTCGATATTTTTAGGAATACTGCTTCCCAAACGATGTAGTCTTGGTAGCGTGCTGTTGTAGGCGTATGCTGTAGAATGATATCCCCTTTCAAATAGGTCCTGAGATCCTGAGATCAGGATGGTCTGGAGCAGCGATAATTTACCCTGCTCAGCAGATCAGGAGAGTCAAGTTCTGCAATGAGATTCTTCCTCAGGAAAACCTGGTCAGCAAATACGCCTTCGAGAACTCAAGTGGTTTAGCCGAAGATGCTGTCGAAGATCCTCAAATGGGTAAAACCCTGAATGGGTATCCCAGACGAAGTCCTACGATTCTAAAACAAGAGCTGCACTCTTTCGATGTCCTGTGAACGACCAACTGTATAAATTGGGACCATACAGGAGAACAATATTCCAACAAGGAGAGCACAGCCCACACAGACAACCCATTTCTGGATAATCTCAGAATGAAACCAAGGGCTGAGTTTGCTTTCCTTGTTAACCTGTTATCTTGATCATCAGGGTTGAGATATGATGTAAATGATACTCCAAGGTCGTTGACAGAGGTGGATCTAACAAGTGCATTCCCATTTATTGAATAGTTAAAAAGAGAGGTTGTTGAGGTCCTGTTGAATGGAACTATCATCCACTTGAATTCATTCAAAAGCATTCCATTTTGCTTATTTGCATAAACCACATTGAAATTCCATTGATGTCCTGCT